TCACTCATTGATTTGTCCCTTGAGTAAGTTCAGTTGGGTTTTAGTGAGTCATTGGGACTTGTTCTCTTATTGACCTCTTTGCTCTTTATTTCGTTTCTCTTTGTGCTCCCCCTTAACCAGAGACTCGGTATGCTTTGTCATTGTTTGGCACCGAGAAGGAGAAAATTGAAAACTCCCCTTTAATATCTGCATCCGTGAGAGAATCCTTGCACTGTACATTGTGTGGCGCCAGGAGGAGAAACGTGAAACTCCCTCTCTGTAGTTGCAATTGTTGTTTGTCATTTGAGGAGTAAAGTAGAAAACTCCCCATTGGAATGTGCTTTCTTTGTTGTATGGCATCAAGAGGAGTGAAAAAGAAACACTCCACCTCAGAATATGCATGCTTGTATGACGTGTTTTGGCGTTGGGGAGGTAATAGAAACGCCCCCCCTTCAGAGTGTGCTTTGAAGAATTTTTCGCTCAATAGGGAGTATACACGCCAATGCTCCCCTTCAGAATTTGATGGCATCAAAATTCACCACATATTCATTCACATCAGTCATAGCAAATTTTGAGAAAACAACCGCAACAATAATCATCACTACCAACAAAGTTTAAACTTTATTTTGGTGGATTGTTCTCCATAATTTCAATTCGCCCACAAAAAATGACATTTTAAACAAAAGCTAATCGTAATTAGGCTTGTTAACAACATACCACAATTTGATCATTCAATGGGAGCTAGAAATGTAGCCATACTTTTGGCGTCACTAGTCACAATGTGGTGTAATTTTTGTTCGCCATTAATTCCTTAGACTGTTGGCTTTATTCTTCCAAATTCAACGTGTTGACCATGTTGCTCCTATGTTGACCATCTAGCTCCGAGAATTGGTCTGCAAATTAATCACTAAAAAGAACTAAAAATACATTAGAAGCTCGAGAAGCGTCAGACGCTGTCCTAAGAAATTATTTCCAGCATTCGGAAATTTCCCCCAGGATATAACGAGTCCTTCAGTTATAAAACCGGTACCAGAACTAACGAGAAGAAAATTTGTATATAAACCCAATAATCATTTAAACAAAATATAAATAATTTGTGATATATCCTTTTATAAACCGTAAGAAGTCAGCCGAGCTATCAGGCACCGAGCCACCAAGCACTCTTGAGGGATTATAAACAAGATACTTTTATAGTGTTGATACATTATGAATATTTTCAGGATCTGTGATATATCATATCTTTTTATTCACTCGGTTGCATGCACTCATATATAATATTATTATGTATCAAATCCTTTTGTGTCAAGAAAACTTCGAACCCACACATCGTGACTACTACACGTATCCCCTCATATGCTATTCAAGATTGGAGGCTTATAATAAAGCACACATATGTTTTCTCTTCTTAAAGGTTAATGTACATTAAATATTAAAGGGGTTTTTATTTGAATATTACTAATTTTGAACCAATTACCAAAAAAGTGAGCACTTTTAAAAAGGGGCAAAAAAGTGATCATGAAAGTCATATTAATGTCATTTCCAGATTTTAATGTCACTATCTTGTTTTAATGTCACTATCAAATGTCCCTGCTGTCACTGCCCGTGTCACTACCGCTACCGCCCGTGTCACTGTGACCACCGCCCGTGTCACTGTAACCACCGCCCGTGTCACTGTGGCCATCGTCCATGTCACTACGGCCACCGCCCGTGTCACTACGGCCATCGCCCGTGTCACCGCGGCCACCGCCCGTGTCACCGCGGCCACTGCCCGTGTCACCGTGGCCACCGCCCGTGTCACTGCGGCCACCGCCCGTGTCACCGCGGCCACCAATTTGAACCAAATTCTAGCACCACACCAACGACACCGCCACTACCGCCTCCCCAACCCCCGTCCCCTTCCCAGCCCACCACCCCCCTCCCCGTCCCACCAGCCTCCTTCCCCAGCCTACCAGCCCCTGCCTAGCCTATCAGCCCCCTACCCAGCCCACCAGCCCCCCTCCCCTCCCACCAGCCCTCCCCAGCTCACCCCCTAGCCTATCAGCAACCTCCCTCCCCAGCCCCAAACCCCCCCTCCACAGCAGTGTATTCCCCTGCCAGCCGCCACCACCATCCCATTCCCACTGCCTCTCCCCCACACATCTACTTTAATTGCCCCTCCCCTGTCCATCAGTAGCCGTCCCCTGTGCACCAGCCCCTCCCCTGCGCACCAGCCTCGTCCCCTGCGTACCAGCCCCCACGCCGTAGCTTCCAACCCCCCACACCTGAGTCGCCCAGATCTGAAAAAGGTGAAATCCTTCAGATTCGCGATCTGAAATCTGGATTCTGTTGACGTCGAGGTAGAGCGTCGGTTGGATGGCGAGGCTATTGCGACACGGTGGAACGTCGTTTGGATGGAGAGGTTGTAACCGATACGATTGGAGGCGGTGGCGGTGCGATGGCCGACTGCGGCGGTGCGATTGGAGACTTCGGAGGTGTGATAGCTCATTGCGGCGGGGAGATGCAGACTGCGGAGGGACGATGGCTGACTGCGGGGGAGATGGCCGACCATGGAGCTGTGGAGAAGAATGATGACTTGGGATGGAGAAGAAGTATTTGCTGGTCTCTTGCGAATTGTGATGGAGAAGACGAAGGGGATCCGCTGGCTTTTATTTTTGAATGGTAGACGGGTCACTTTTTTGTGAAACAAAAATCCACTCATATTTTGGTCTAATAAAAGGTGGGAGATAATAATGGTGTCATTCTTTCAATATTAAATTAAAGATGATAGATAGTGGACGTTAGGATCAAATTTATAATGCCCAAAATGCCTATGTGTTATAGAATATGACCAAACAAGTGAAAAACTACATTAAAATTTGAATATTTGAAATTCATTGTTTAATATGGGTGAGAAAAAAATAATTTTAAGTCCTAATGAATTTGTCACAAATAAAGCAATATTATATTTATTTGAAATACTCTAAAAAGTCCAACTAGAATATCCTCTAACTCCTTAATTTTTGAGTAAAGTTTACTCCGTTCTCTGAAAATATGGTCAAAAGAGTTTGATATTTCAGAACGCTTTCGTTCAGATTCTTCTAGTTCACTAGTTAAGTCATACACTTCTTTTAAGTTTTTAAACTTCAGATTTCAAACTAATGACCTTTTCTTCTAAAATGCTTTCTAATCATAAGTGTCTTCTTTACTCAAGGAAGAGATTTTATCCTGTAAAGAACATATTTGTGCAGTGTAATTGGAATTAGAAGTACTTACCTCGAACTCATCAGATAATGTGTTTGATCCGTTGTTTGTGAAAATTTAGCTAAAGACAATTTTGCCATTTTCACTCTTCCCTTTTTTTAAATTTGTCTTCCGTTATTTGTTACTTGCAATTCACGGGCTTCCTGGCTTTACGGGGCGGATCGCGGGTGATGGGGTTTTGGGATCACGAGCAGGGTTTGAAATAGCGGTCCGCTACCGCTATAGCGGCCGCTATATAGCGGTCGCGGTAGGGGCCGCTACCGCTACGGCCCGCTATTCGTGTGTGATTTCCAAATCACGGGAAAAATCCGCTACGCCGCCCGCTACAGCCCGCTATAGCCCGCTATTGACATTTCCGACAGTACATCACGAACTGTTTGATGTGTAAATGTGTAAATGTTGTGTAAATGATGTGAAAAAATACATTAATATTGATGCATGGAGTGAAACTCAAAATTAAATGTTGTGTGAATGATGTGAAAAAATACATTTATGTTTTGCGCAATTGAAAATATTTCACGCCGCTGCAACCGCTACAGTAGGCTACAGGCCGCTACCGCGATGACCGCTACCGCTGCAGCTGCCGCTACGGCTATTTAAAACCTTGATCACGAGTGATAAATATGGGTAAGATCGTGGGAGTGGGATAATCTCGGGTGTGCCTTGAAGACGTGATCTTGGGTGAAGCTTCCGCAGGTGAGGAACGAGATTACAAACATAGGTGAAGATCGCGGGTGAGAAGGTTTTGCAAGCTCGTGATCTTCTTCTTCTTTGTTCCTTCTCTGTTTTTCTAAAACTGAAATCTCATTACAACACCTCCAATCTGCAACACAATAATCTTCTTGATTCGATCTTCTTCAACACAGTAATTTTTCTTCTGCAAAACCAAGTCTTCGGTCCTCCTCTTTTCAAAAATTAAGTTTTTGGAAATTTGATGTTCTTCGTTAATACCAGATGCTAATGCGAAGTTTTGCAGATATAAATAGATTACAAGTAGTAGGATTCTTGGGACCCCTTATTGGGACTTGGGAGGCCTAATAAATTTGACATCTTTATTAGGATTCTTACCGGGAAAATGGAAACTAATAATCCAACCTTTTAGCGGTCTTCTTACAATAATCCAACCTTTTGGTTATTCATGAATAATCCCTGACCGGTTGATGACCTGCTATTCCAAGCTATTTTCTTATCTTTGCAAATCATTATACCATAAATCTCATCTTTCACAAAGATAATATTTTGCAAAGATAAGAAAATAACTTGGAATAGTAGGTCATTAACCGACCAGGGACCAATGAGTGAAGATGATGTGCAAAGGTTGGATTATTCATGAATAATCAAAAGGTGGGATTATTGAAAGAAGACCGCTAAAAGGTTGGATTATTAGTTTCCATTTTCCCGATTCTGACCCCCCCCCTTATACATCTTTACCAGGAATAGAGTTTGTTGGTGTTAAATCCCCTCTTACATCTTTGGGTTTCAATGGATTTCGTTATATGTGGATAATTTTAGTGAGTAAATGGACAACGAGTAAATGACAATAAGTAAATGACAAGAAACGTTGAAGTTTTTCATATTCTACCAAATGACTTTAAAATGGTTACAACACACCCCTAGCGAGCGCGAGCCTCCAATCTCTACTTCTAAGCTGAGAGTTTATAGAGAAAGTAGAGAGAGAGAGGAGCTAAACTATTGATTGCAAGTTTGTTAGTTCTTTACAATGAAATAAATGTGAATATCTAAACTACAAGGTACTAGGCGAGGGGGCAACGTGGCGAGCTGATAGGCTCGTTTCGTTCCTATCTTTTCACTCATATTTTGGGTGTTAATTGTCTACTTTGTATAATTAATCGGGTGACTATTGGGGGTTTTGAATGAAAATTTGTTATTTTTCGGTCCCGGTGGCATTCATTTTCAGTGTAGTATTTTTGTACACAATTTGACATTTTTGGAGTAATTTGATTGTAAAGTTACATATTATTAGCGGGTGTGGTGAGTTGTTATTGTATAGGCTGAGTTTGCGGTGAATTATTTGGGCCGGATCATTTAAGGACTGTTTTTGAAGTTAAGTGCAATCAAAGAGAAAAAAAAAAGTGCAGCAGGTTGTTCGTCTCACTAGCAGTCCAAAAGAGAAAAAAAAAAGTGCAGCAGGTTGTTCGTCTCACTAGCAGCCCAACAAGGAAAAGAGATGAGCTGGGTTTTCTCCCTGAAAACAACCCCAGCCGCAGGAGCAAATTCCATTTTTTTGCATTCTCTCTTCACTTTTGGATTTCCGCAGCCGCACCCAACAGTTTTCTTATTCTCTGGAGAAGCAACCGACAGCAACTAGAAGACCAAAACACCTGCAATTTTTCTTTTCTGTTCATTTAGCAACAAGCAGCCGGAGGTAGGAGTTTTTCCTTTCGTTTCTGAAATCAATTAGCCGCAGCAGCATTTTTTTTTTCCCTTGTCTTCATTTAGCCGTAGCAGCAACTAGATCAAGCAGCAATTTTTTTTATCCTATTCTATGGAAGTAGCCGCACCAGTAAGAAAGGAAATCAGAACGGTTTCTAAGCTTCACTCTTCCTTCAATTTCTGCCAAGTTTATTTAGATTCCAAACATTTATTGTAAGTTAAATATATTTTACATTACTTGTTCTCTAATTAGGATTATATATTTTGAAGTTGTTTTTCTCCAACTGATAACTCAGTATTCCCAAACGATTATTCTACTTCAGTTTTTCTAACCTTTATCATGTTTATCAATATTACTGCGATGTTAATTTTAAGTATGATTAGCTAATTCCATATAGGGTTTGAATTGGGGCTAGGGTTCATGGGTTTTTGAGGGTGTGAATTTAGTTTTGAAATTCAATTAATTTTCTGAAAAATTGTATAAGTTTAATCATAATTGTCTATATGAATTTGATCACCTCATATATGAATACTTTGATTTAATTCAATTCTTGTCTATGAGAAATTGAGTTGAATAAGCTCGAATCTTATACAAGCAATCTGATTTTAGAAATAAGTTAGGATTGTGATAATATGATTTAATTCTCGTCTATGAGAATTTATTTCATTTTCTTTCCAGGAAAAATTGAAAATCAATTTTACTTAATTCTAATCCTGAAAGATCACCCAGAACCCGAACCATCCAATTTGAACCCTGTTTTAATATCCTGAATTAATTTAATTTATTTTTTTTCTATTTATTTTTGCACTCGCTATTAGTCAGTTTATTAGTCAGTTTTATTTTCAAACCACTCAAAAAAATATTTATTCGGAAAGATTACCATGACTTGTGCTAGCCTGTGATCACAGACTGTATTTAAAACTTCCTTTTTGCCACTCCTTGAGAGACGATACTCGTGGTCTGGTTATTCTTCGGATTAGCCAACTACGTTTTACTCACTAAAAAAAAATACACCGATCAAATGGCGCCGTTGCCGGGGAGTGGCACGGTTGTTTGTTAAGTACTTTTCTGTGGAATAGGTAAAAGCAAGTTGGTGAGACTTTCTATTTTTTTTTTTTTTTCTGTTATTTGTTTGTCGTTTTTGGTGTTCTTTGCACGTGAACTAAGCTGCAGGAACCAGTGTATGCGCACTCGCTCCTCGGAGGAACAAGATTTAATTGCAGGTTATTCTAATCCTGAACGCTTATTCCGAGGAAGAGCTAAAAGGCGTTTGCTAGAAGACTTGGAGAAAATGGCCGATCAGACAACTCTAGAGACGCTGACGCCTAATTATGTGGCGAGAAATAGCATTGGTGCACCCACCATTGAGGCCAACAATTTTGAAATCAAGCCGGCCATGATTCAGATGCTTGCTAATAATCCATTCTGTGGATACACTCATGAAGATCCAATGGAGCATATTGAGAGCTTTATTCAGACTTGTGCCACGTTCAAATATAATGGAGTGTCCAGCGAAGCAGTCAGGTTGACTTTATTCCCGTTCTCGTTGAAAGACAAAGCTTCACGGTGGCTCCGTAGCTTTCCAAACGGGCATTTTGATACATGGGAGAAGCTTCATCAGGCATTTATGCAGGAGTATTTTCCTCCCTCTGCCGCTATCAAGGTTTAGACAGAAATTCTCAATTTCACTCAAGCTCCGACTGAGACTTTCAGTGAAGCGTGGGATAGGCTGAAGACGCTGAGAAGGAAGTGCCCTGAAACATTCATGAATGCAGCAACTATTATGTGCAGATTTTATAATGGGCTTCGATTGGAGTATATGAGAGAGCTAGACCGGGCATCTCAAGGGGGTATGTTTCTGAAATTATCCCCACAGGCAGAAGAGCAAATAATTGAGAACCTGGCCTCAAATGATAAGTATTGGTATGCGGGTAAAGAGAGAGCTCAAAATCCACCCGGTTTGCTTAATCTGGACCCCATCACTGCACTCACCGCGAAGATAGAAGGACTGGCAGTGGACGTGAAAGACTTGAAGGCACAGACTTCTCAACAGCAGCAGGTCCATAATATTGGAGCATATCAGCCCTCTTATCCTATGTATTCTGCCCCACTCCCTGTTCGAGCAAGCTATCCAAGCCCAACCGGCCAAGAACTCGCTTTATCTTGCGAGATGTGCATGGGAGCTCACCTCACTCACACATGTCCTCTTTATGTTCAGAATCAGGCATCACCAGTGGTCCAGAACGTCAATTTCATGGAATATGGTCAAGGCCAGAGAGGAGGTGGACAATTTTTCAACAATCAAGGTCAGAGAGGAAACTTTCAGCAAGCAGGAGGCACGTGGAGGCCTGAAAATCAGAATCAAGGGCAGCGGAATGCCCCTAATTTTCAAGCAAATTTCCAGAATAGAGGCCATCCAAACCAGCCCGCTTATGTCCCGCCTCATCAAAGACAGCTTGAGCAGCCTCCTGTAAGTTCGGCGTTGGAGAAAACAGTGGCTGAATTAGCCAAAAATCAGGCTGATATGCATCAACGTTTCAGCAATTTGGAAGCTCTTATCCGCCAGCTTGGTTCACTTGCTCCTAGAGAAACGGGCAGCCTTCCGAGTTCAACAGAACCTAACCCAAGGGAGCATGTGCAAGCTGTTACACTACGAAGCGGGAGAACACTTCCAGAAGTTTCTACTCCGCCAATGCCTCAACAAGATGATGACCAGCAGCTTCAAGGCCCCAAATCCCAGGTTGAAGAAGAACCAGTGGCTGCCCCTATTCCAGCCAAGAGTGAAGAAGTCCAGAATGAAGAAGCTCAGAAGAAAAAGGAGAGCAAGAAGACTCCACCCCTTCCGTTTCCTACACGGGTGAAGAGGAACAACGATAACACGAACCTGATCAGATTTATGGAGCATTTGAAACAGCTCCATATCAATATGCCATTCATGGAGGCTTTGACAGAGATGCCGAGGTACGCGAAGTTTCTAAAGGACCTCCTCACGAAAAAGAGGAGGTGGGAAGAGCCAGAAGTGGTAGATCTTAATGCAGAATGTTCAGCAGTTGTTCTGAAGACCATGCCTCCGAAGCTAAAAGACCCAGGGAGTTTTATTGTACCTTGTTCTATTGGAAATTTTAAGTTTAATAATGCTTTAGCTGATCTGGGAGCGAGCATCAATTTGATGCCTTCCTCTGTGGTCATGAAACTTGGCTTGGGTGAACTTAAGCCCACTCGTATGAGCCTCCAGCTAGCGGACCGATCGGTGAAATACCCGAAAGGAATTCTAGAGGATGTATTAGTACGGGTGGAAAAGTTCATATTCCCTGTTGATTTTGTTGTCATGGACATGGAGGAAGATCGTGAGACTCCACTTATTTTAGGGAGGCCCTTTCTGGCTACTGCTAGGGCCCTTGTTGATGTTGCTGATGGTTCACTTTCTCTGAGAGTTGGGGACGATGTGTGTACATTTAAACTCTCAGATGTGATGAGTAAGGCCTCAGACTCCGCTGAATCATGCCATTATCTTGACATGTTTGAGTCAGTGGAGGGGTATTTATTTGGAGGCGATAGTGATATTACCCCACCCGTTAGTGAGACTCATTATGTGGGGGATGTAGTCGCTGAAAATGAAGAAGAAATGACTGTTGATTGCGAGCAGGTGATTAGGGATGATGTTTTCCCTGAGTTGCTTACTGAGTTTGAGGAGCAGCCCACTGATAAGGTTACTCCTGAACTCAAAACGCTCCCTAGTCACCTGGAGTATGCATTTTTGGACACAGAGGGCCAACGACCTGTCATAATTTCAGCTCAGTTAGAGTCGGGACAGAAGGAAAAATTGTTGGATGTACTTAGGTGCCATGAGAAAGTCATTGCTCGTAAGCTTGAGGATCTTCATGGGATTAGCCCAACCTTCTGTACCCACAAAATCAAGTGTGAGGAGGGGTATAAACCAGTTGTTCAAACGCAACGACGTTTAAACCCTAAGATGATGGATTTTGTAAAGGCAGAAGTCCTGAGGCTTCTAGATGTGGGTATAATTTACCCAAATTCAGATAGCAAATGGGTTAGCCCTACTCATGTGGTCCCCAAAAAAGGGGGTATGACGGTTGTTCAGAATGAGAAGGGGGAACTCCTACCCAGTAGGACTATGATCGGGTGGCGGAGGGTCATTGATTATTGTAAACCGAATGAGGCCACCCGTAAGGATCACTTCCCCTTACCTTTTATTGATCAGTTAATTGAGAGTTTGACAGGACATGCTTACTATTTCCAAAACGGGATGAGCGGGTATTTTCAAATACACGTTGATCCCGTTGACCAAGAAAATACCATTTTTACTTACCCATTTAAGCCAGATTAGGAATGAGATATTATTGTCAAGCTAGTGACGTTAAAGAAGCGCTTCTGGGAGGCAACCCATCAAAAAAAAAGTAGAATTAGGAGTTTTTTTTATGCACTTTTTTCCCATTGTTTTTTATGTTTTCATCTTGTGGTTGTGCGGTTGGATTTCTTTGCTTTGAATTGCAGGCGCGGCATGGGATTTCATGAACTGATTTTGGAAGAATTGCAGCCCTATGTAGATGGAGCTCCTCAGGGTTACAAGATGCAATTTGCTTCACAACAGGCGAGAGAGTGATATGGAGCTGAATTCAGAGTTGAAACCTACACTTACTAGAGAAGTGAAGTCGCTGGGTAGTAATTAACAAAGTGATGGCCGCTTCTGATGACGTTACATGCTGTTTTTTTAACACCAGAGCAGCTGGCCGTTGAGGTGCAGACGCAGTTGCTCCAACAACTCACTTTTGGACTACCAGCAAGCTTTGGCAGCGGAATGCGGGCATAGTTCCAGGTTATGGCAGCGATACACACTTAGTTTGGAGTTGAGAGACTTCAGTTGCTTCACGAGGCAAACATTTGCGAGATTTTCCAGTGCTTACGCATCCAAGAGAGTCATTTCGGCCGATGATCATAGTTTCAGGCACACTACCCAGATCTTCCACCACAAGAGATCGAGGAGCTATCAAATGTTGAGTTTTAAGTTATTCTGGAGGTTATGCACCATCGTTTGGCTTGTACGGTATTCTGCCAACTTTTACTACGCTGCTAAGAATGTGTGTTTACTCTCTTATTACTCCTTTGTTGAATTGTGTCGATTATTATTCTGATTATGATGTGCTGCCGGGATGAAAACCATTTTATTCTTTAACTTGCCCTCGTTATTTCTGCTTTTAAATCTTTTCTGTGACCTCGAGGGCGATGTCACCCCTAAGTGTGGGGAGGTTTGGTTTTAGTTTGGACATGGCATTTGGTGATGAAATTATTCTGCTCAACAACATTTTGAGGTGCACGAGCTTTTTTCTGGTTTAGCAACGCAACAGAGGTAACTTGTTAATCTTTATTTTCTTTTGTAAACTTCCATCTCCTCCATCTTTCTTGGAAAGAATAAGTAATGGTGTAATCATCGGGGTGGTGTGTATATTCTTGGGAAATGTTGGCATGCTGGATTGTTTGATTTGTGTTGATTAAATTCGGTGTTACTCGTGATTCACTAGTTCATCATCAATAATTCATTGACTGATCATGTGTTGAAAATCCTTACTCCGTAAGGAGCTCTGCTTTATAAGCATATCGGGATAACTTCATGCTAAGCAGGTAACTGATTCTTGTAATGGGGTTACACTTTGTGTGTCGAGAATTTCATCCCCAAAATGGGGCTCTGCTCATCTCGCGAATCACTCTGTGTGAGAGTTGAGTACACAGTAATGAGATAAACTCCCAGGCCCTAGAGCTTGAATCAGTCGAGCTTGAATCAGTCCTGTAATCCAGAACCTGGTCAACTTTTCAAAAAAAAAAGAGAGAAAAAAAAAGAACCACGAGTATACTGATTTTTATCACACAATTCTTGGGTTTTTGGAATGATTAGTGGTTTGGATTTCACACACCTACACCGTGGGACCATCATGCTTTTCTTTACACTTTAGTCGGTTGGAGAGGGATTTTACTTTTGAAAATATTGTTTAACATGTGAACCTTGGTTTCGTTGTTAAGAAAGAAAAGACTTTGTGCATTCATTTGTTTTGGGTGAATGATTTTTTTAACCAGGTGTTACATGTGATTATTTTGTTTTCCGTGGATTTAATGCATTGTTGCTTGGGGGCAAGCAACGCTCAAGTGTGGGGAGATTTGATAGGCTCGTTTCGTTCCTATCTTTTCACTCATATTTTGGGTGTTAATTGTCTACTTTGTATAATTAATCGGGTGACTATTGGGGGTTTTGAATGAAAATTTGTTATTTTTCGGTCCCGGTGGCATTCATTTTCAGTGTAGTATTTTTGTACACAATTTGACATTTTTGGAGTAATTTGATTGTAAAGTTACATATTATTAGCGGGTGTGGTGAGTTGTTATTGTATAGGCTGAGTTTGCGGTGAATTATTTGGGCCGGATCATTTAAGGACTGTTTTTGAAGTTAAGTGCAATCAAAGAGAAAAAAAAAAGTGCAGCAGGTTGTTCGTCTCACTAGCAGTCCAAAAGAGAAAAAAAAAAGTGCAGCAGGTTGTTCGTCTCACTAGCAGCCCAACAAGGAAAAGAGATGAGCTGGGTTTTCTCCCTGAAAACAACCCCAGCCGCAGGAGCAAATTCCATTTTTTTGCATTCTCTCTTCACTTTTGGATTTCCGCAGCCGCACCCAACAGTTTTCTTATTCTCTGGAGAAGCAACCGACAGCAACTAGAAGACCAAAACACCTGCAATTTTTCTTTTCTGTTCATTTAGCAACAAGCAGCCGGAGGTAGGAGTTTTTCCTTTCGTTTCTGAAATCAATTAGCCGCAGCAGCATTTTTTTTTTCCCTTGTCTTCATTTAGCCGTAGCAGCAACTAGATCAAGCAGCAATTTTTTTTATCCTATTCTATGGAAGTAGCCGCACCAGTAAGAAAGGAAATCAGAACGGTTTCTAAGCTTCACTCTTCCTTCAATTTCTGCCAAGTTTATTTAGATTCCAAACATTTATTGTAAGTTAAATATATTTTACATTACTTGTTCTCTAATTAGGATTATATATTTTGAAGTTGTTTTTCTCCAACTGATAACTCAGTATTCCCAAACGATTATTCTACTTCAGTTTTTCTAACCTTTATCATGTTTATCAATATTACTGCGATGTTAATTTTAAGTATGATTAGCTAATTCCATATAGGGTTTGAATTGGGGCTAGGGTTCATGGGTTTTTGAGGGTGTGAATTTAGTTTTGAAATTCAATTAATTTTCTGAAAAATTGTATAAGTTTAATCATAATTGTCTATATGAATTTGATCACCTCATATATGAATACTTTGATTTAATTCAATTCTTGTCTATGAGAAATTGAGTTGAATAAGCTCGAATCTTATACAAGCAATCTGATTTTAGAAATAAGTTAGGATTGTGATAATATGATTTAATTCTCGTCTATGAGAATTTATTTCATTTTCTTTCCAGGAAAAATTGAAAATCAATTTTACTTAATTCTAATCCTGAAAGATCACCCAGAACCCGAACCATCCAATTTGAACCCTGTTTTAATATCCTGAATTAATTTAATTTATTTTTTTTCTATTTATTTTTGCACTCGCTATTAGTCAGTTTATTAGTCAGTTTTATTTTCAAACCACTCAAAAAAATATTTATTCGGAAAGATTACCATGACTTGTGCTAGCCTGTGATCACAGACTGTATTTAAAACTTCCTTTTTGCCACTCCTTGAGAGACGATACTCGTGGTCTGGTTATTCTTCGGATTAGCCAACTACGTTTTACTCACTAAAAAAAAATACACCGATCAAATGGCGCCGTTGCCGGGGAGTGGCACGGTTGTTTGTTAAGTACTTTTCTGTGGAATAGGTAAAAGCAAGTTGGTGAGACTTTCTATTTTTTTTTTTTCTGTTATTTGTTTGTCGTTTTTGGTGTTCTTTGCACGTGAACTAAGCTGCAGGAACCAGTGTATGCGCACTCGCTCCTCGGAGGAACAAGATTTAATTGCAGGTTATTCTAATCCTGAACGCTTATTCCGAGGAAGAGCTAAAAGGCGTTTGCTAGAAGACTTGGAGAAAATGGCCGATCAGACAACTCTAGAGACGCTGACGCCTAATTATGTGGCGAGAAATAGCATTGGTGCACCCACCATTGAGGCCAACAATTTTGAAATCAAGCCGGCCATGATTCAGATGCTTGCTAATAATCCATTCTGTGGATACACTCATGAAGATCCAATGGAGCATATTGAGAGCTTTATTCAGACTTGTGCCGCGTTCAAATATAATGGAGTGTCCAGCGAAGCAGTCAGGTTGACTTTATTCCCGTTCTCGTTGAAAGACAAAGCTTCACGGTGGCTCCGTAGCTTTCCAAACGGGCATTTTGATACATGGGAGAAGCTTCATCAGGCATTTATGCAGGAGTATTTTCCTCCCTCTGCCGCTATCAAGGTTTAGACAGAAATTCTCAATTTCACTCAAGCTCCGACTGAGACTTTCATTTGATCCAAAAGCAAATGAAGGAATATTCATTGGGTATTCTACCAACTCCAAGGCGTACAGAGTATACTTGAAAGACAGAAGAACCGTCATGGAGAGCATCAATGTGAGCTTCTATGAAATGGCGGACTTGGCTTCTGAACATTTTCATTCTGAACCATCAACCTCTGCAAACAATGAAACTCCATCATCTTCTGGAGTAGGAGGGCAGGGAGGTGAGACAAGATCAGATGAGCATGTGGTTCTGGATTCTCTTTTTGAGCACTTCTACAGCCAACCACGTGCAGCACCCACTATAAATGCTACAACCACTCAGAACCCCCTGTTACCTGCTCCAAATGCTGAAGAAACCAACACTCCTACTCAGAATGATGATGAGCATACAGATAATGAAGCTGAACAAGAACCAAACACTCCTGTTAATGATCAAACTGAGGAAGCTGCAACGTAAGAAACCCCAGAAGCACAACCAGAGCAAGAATATTCTGACCCTGATCATCCAATCATAACTCCACAGCCTCTACAGCACGAGAGAAAGTGGACTAGAGCACATCCGCCAGAGCTGATAATTGGAGATCCATCTCAAGGAGTCAGAACCAGAACGGCATCAGTCAATGAATGCTTATACTCATGTTTTCTGAGTCAGAAAGAACCAACAAAGATGACTGACGCATTGGCTGATCCGGACTGGGTGATTGCGATGCAAGAAGAAATGAACCAGTTTGAAAGATTGAAAGTGTGGACCCTGGTGCCAAGGCCGTACAAGAAAACCATTATCGGCACCAAGTGGGTCTTCAAAAATAAGAAAGACGAAGACGGTGTGATCGTGAGAAACAAGGCCCGCCTGGTTGCAAAAGGTTACAATCAACAAGAAGGAATCGACTACGATGAAACCTTTGCACCAGTGGCAAGGATTGAGGCCATCAGACTATTTCTAGCTTATGCTGCACACAAGAGTTTCACAGTGTATCAAATGGATGTAAAGACAGCATTTCTGAATGGAGATTTGAAAGAAGAAGTCTACGTTGCACAACCTGACGGCTTTGTTGATCCTGAACGCCCCAATCATGTATATAAGCTGAGGAAAGCCCTGTATGGTTTGAAACAGGCACCGAGAGCCTGGTACGAAGCACTGTCAGATTTTCTTGTAGAATCAGGCTTCTCGAAGGGAAAGATAGATCCAGCTCTCTTCATCAAAAGGCACAAGGGTGACATCATGCTGATACAAATTTATGTGGACGACATCATCTTTGCCTCGTCGAATCCAAATTTCTGTAAAAAGTTCAGCAACCTGATGCGCACCAAGTTCGAGATGAGTATGATGGGAGAGTTGAACTTCTTTCTAGGGCTTCAGATCAAGCAAATGCCAGACGGAATATTCATAAATCAGTCCAAGTACATCCACGATATGCTAAAGCGCTTCAAAATGGACAGCGAGTCGACGATGAAAACCCCCATGTCTCCCTCACAGAAGCTCGACTCTGACCCTTCCGGGAAACCAGTCGATGCTACCAATTATCGGGCTATCATCGGTTCCTTACTGTACCTTACATCTAGCAGACCAGATATTGTCTTTACAACCTGTCTATGCGCCCGCTTTCAAGCAAATCCTAAGGAATCACATCTGAATGCGGTTAGAAGAATACTGAGATATCTCAAAGGAACAGTCAATCTGGGCCTTTGGTATCCCAAGGAATCAGGCTTTGACCTTGTTGGATACACAGATGCTGATTTCGCGGGTTGCAAATTGGACAGAAAGAGTACATCTGGCGGTGCTCAATTTCTTGGTGATAAGTTGGTGTGCTGGTCCTCTAAAAAGCAGAATTGTGTGTCTACTTCTACAGCTGAGGCAGAATATGTCGCGGCTGCTAGCTGTTGCTCACAGATATTATGGATGAGGACCCAGCTGAAAGACTACGGGTTCACATTCTCACACATCCCGATCTATAGTGACTCTCAAAGTGCAATAGCCATCACGTGCAATCCGGTCCATCATTCAAGGACGAAGCATATTGACCTCAGATATCATTTCATAAAGGATCACGTTGAGAAAGGCACCGTGGACATGTACTTTGTGCCTACGGAATTGCAACTGGCTGATATTTTCACAAAGGCCCTGGATGAAAAGAGATTCAATTTTCTGATCTCTAAGCTAGGGATGCTGAACCTGAACGACTGAGTAACATCTGAACTGTGTGTGTGCGTGTGCTTTCATGTTTTGCATTTTTGTTATCTTTGCATCACATTCTTTTTCTCTCTCTCATGCATCATTTTTTTCCATCGCATGTTTTCCCTTTTATTTTTCATGCATCGTTTTTTTCTTGCATAAATTGAGGAGGAGCTGTTCTAAACTGTTCATAAGTTGAGGGGGAGCTTTTCAAAAATATGTATAAGTTGAGGGGGAGTTTTCTAAATTTTTCATTCTAAAAAGAAAGCAAGTGTTGAGGGGGAGAATTTTAATTTGAAATCTGACTGATTTGGGCCCGTTACACTTTTGAAAAACCTCCCGGGCCTATTTAATCTGTGAAACGCGCAACTCCTCCCCATTTCACTTCTGCGCGAAACGCTTGCACTCCCTCAGTGTAACAACCCGGCCCCGCAAGACCCGAGGTAGTTACTCCGGACCAATAGTACTGTCCCCACAAACCGCCACGAGCCTTTACCGCGCAGTTTGTCCTCACTCATGCGCGCCCTGAGAAACTTCCCAGGGGGTCACCCATCCCAAGACTACTCCCGTGCAAGCACGCTTAACTTTGGAGTTCTTGGGTGATGAGCTCCCTTAAAAGGAGATGCACCTCTGTTTGTATGAGTAGTACTATTAATCCGTTTATATTAAATCTCAAGTGTTACACTCAGAGCTCTCAACTCCCTCTCTCGCTTTTCACTCTTCAAAGGTAAAGAAATTTTCCCATCTTTCTTCGATTTTTCTGATAATGAACAGGTACACGGTCTAGCTGAAGACGACGAACAGGACTCCCTTGCGAAAACCCCAGTGCGCGATTTCTGATTGCGCTAAACACCGGGCCTGCGCGATTCGCCCGGGTTGCGCGATCTAATCCTTGCGCGAAGATTCCCCTTTGAGCGATTCGCCCAGGTTGCGCGATTTGGGAAGTTGCGCGAAACCAGGAGCCTTGCCAGATCTACTAGCCTTGCGCGATATTGGGGGACGTGCGCGATCAGAAAGGGCTGCGCGATTTCCCCCCCTTTTCGTGATCCTCTAGGCTTGCGCGATTCAGTACACTGCGCGATTTGAGGCCCTTGCGCGATCCGGGGCTTGCGTGATCTTGCCCCTTGCGCGATCCTCCCCCCTTGCGCGATCCCAATTGCGCGATCTAGGGGGCCCTGCGCGAATAGGCTAGTGCGATCCTTATCCTTGGGCAATCCTTTGGGCTGCGCGATCTTAAGTAAAACCAGCCCAAACGAAACCCTTTGTGAAATGTTTCAAGTAGGCCGAAATGATCAAGTCCAGGCCCAACTTCAAATCAAGACCAATAACATTTTCAATTGGGCCCCACTTTTCATTAAAAAAAAAAAACAAACAATAAAGGGCCCAAGTGACCAGGAGTTGTGGACTTAGCCATTTTTTATCATATGCTCTAATCTCTTTATCATTTTCAGACTGAAATGGCTGCCAACACTCCAATCAACATGATCTACGCTAGGGAACAATGGATCCCAATCAAGGAAAACAACTCACAGTTGGACATTAAAGTCTTCTCATGCCAAGATGATGTGATCGTCTCTATTCTGAAAGGCCACAAGCTATGGAAGGCCCTGAGCAAGAACGCTGAAGTCCCTCAGGTGTATCTCCAACAATTCTGGGGTACACTTGACAAGGACGTGGATGCTAATGGCAGACAAATCGATGACGTCCTAGCTGCCACAATCTGCAATACAAGAGTCACAATCACAAAGGCGCTAATCCAACAAGTGCTACAGATCCCGGAGGAGGAACATTATGATGCGTTGGCCTCAGAAGCGCAAATATTTGAAGACATGATCAAGCTAGGCCACGCTGAACCCCTCCGGTTGATGTCTGCAATCAAGACCGCACGATTTCCACGACCTTGGAGGACACTAATGGCCACACTAAACAAGTGCTGCACATCTAAGCACAGCGGCTTCGACAAATGCAGTGGCTACCTCGTCTACATCTTTCACGGCATCGCTTTCATGAAGAACTATGACTTCGCCTCACTAATCTAGGGTGACATTCTGGAAATGCGAAGAAGGAAGTTTGACACTGATCTGATCAAGCATCTACCATATATGAGATGGTTTTCCTTGTTGGTGCGACATTTCTGCAGAACAACTCCAACTATTCAGAGACGCAAATCATCTGAGAATGTCAGCACTCCAGCCCTCCAATACTTGAAGAGAATGCCAGAGGTACGCACTATACCTCTTCCTATTCCGGTTCCTCTCCTCCTGTTAGCTGGTCGGAATGATCCACATGTCATACGCTACAGCGAGGAGAACAACATTATACTCCCTATGGCTCAGATAAACCCCCCTGAGCCAACCCCGGGGAGTCAGCCGAGAGAAAGTGAGGGTCCTAAGAGTTCAACCCGTCCACAGAGACCAGTGGCAAGCCAGCCCCATGATGATCAGACTACGATGATGATGATGAGGATGACAACAACGCCAATGCAAAGGGCAAGAAAGTCGAGAAAGCCCGCGCTAAGAAAGGACGACTCGTTATCAGGCTTTCTCGGGCTACAACACAAGAGCAGTCTCACCAAATCAAGGACACTCGAGGAAATATCATCAGTGTGACTCGCTCCAAGGTGCGTCATGACCTTGCCTCATCATCTACTCTTAAGCAAAGAGTGCAAACCACAGGCAACCTGGCAGAAGAGTTAGCTTTGTATGACAGCTGCTCTGACCTAGACACAATAAACCGGGCTAACCCCTTAGGTGCAGAGGCTGATATTTTCAGTCTCCGAGTAGAAGACGCGGCATCTAGCCCAACTGCGCATGCACAAGCCTCACCAAG